AAAAAAAAAAAAAAAAAAAAAAAAAAAAAAAAAAGGACCCCCAGCTATTTATCTCTATTTATCTCTTTCCATAAAGAGAACCACATACCACAAATACCTGACCCCAATTAATATTTCTAGTTGAGGAAGTTTTTGATTTGCAGAACACTGATTTGCAACAGCTTCTTTAAAAGTCCTCTCACTGGTTGTAAGGAGTCATGTACATTTTTTTAGTCTTTTTATATGAGGATGTTTGCGGTAATTATGACTGCATTAGAGTTTCTATTACAGGTTCACTTCATGATTCAGTCATGCCTCAGAAATCTGTTGCCACATTTGTGTCACTGCCAGTCAGTCCTCTTTACTTTCAGAAGTCAGGGCATTCAAGTGAAGTTTCCTTCCGCTTTGCTCTCAAGAAAACATTTCAATTCGTCTTTGAAGAAACTTTGAGATTCCAGTTTACACAGTGATGTCATGTGGTTTAATGTGAGCGCTGAAATGTCATGTTGCAGTTACTGTAAACTCTGTTCAGTTCATCGCCATCAGTAATGTAATATCAAAGCATAGAAAGAAAGAATATCACAGAAAGAAGAATAAAGTAACTATACCTCCATCCTCTGAGTGGCTCCGATCTGTCCAGCTGCGCTCCGGTGCGTCCAAGTAACTCTGGTTAAAAAGGCAAGAAACTTTCGCAGCTTCACACCACCGGAGTCACGTTTCCATCCCAGCAGCTCTGCACTTAAACACAGCTACAGGAGCACACACTGACACTGTGTGTGAGAACCCTGAGGAGAGGAGGAGAGGAGAAGGAGGAGGAAGAGGAGGGTTTGGCTGACTGATGTGGTTCGCAGTAGTTTGGTCTTCGCTGTTGAGCGGCGGATGAGTGTGTGAACACCAAGACACTGAAAAGCCCGCGCTGTGGCGATACTGCGCTGCACACACACACACACACACACAGAGACACGCGCGCGCGCGCGCACGCACACACATACTGACACGCACGCGCACGCACACAACACACACATTTTCATCTGAAGACTGCAGGTTATGAGACTAGATATTCATGCTACAGGTTTAATTGTCTTTCAGCTCTTAAAATGAGCCTCAGAACAGTGGATTAAGACATTTATATTTATGTCTATATAATAATGTCTGAGGCCCTCTAGTGGCTGGCTGCAATACAATTTATAACCCCGCCCATTCCCATGTTAGTGCATGGAGCAGTGTGGAGGCAATATAGATATAGATAGATATAGATATATAGCTAGATAGATAGATAGATAGATAGATAGATAGATAATTTAATTTAATTTGAATTAATAATTTAATTTGAAATTTTTAAAAAATTGAATAAAACAAAAGAAGATTTAAATGATAAAAGCCTTTAAATCCTTAATAATAAAAATTAAAGACAATTGAATCTATACATTTGAAATATTTTAGGTTGGTTAAAACCAAACATCTATATTTATTTTGAATTATCTTGAAATTCAGATTAGGTTTGTTTTTGTTTGTTGCTTACTTTCTTTCTTTAGTTTTCAGCAGACCTCCATGTGGTTTGTAAAGAGAGAAGTGTGCATGGCTACATGAGCCACTGTGTGTGCAGAGAAAGACCCCGCTCTCAGAATATCTGTGTTATACAGTGCACACACAGCTAGACTGCAGGACGTCTCCTTTGAGAAACACATACACACATCTACATGCACGATACGTACACATACTCTCATTAGAAACAGGACTCGTGTGTGTATAAGAGTGTGTCACTTGTTTTATAAGTGTGTGATCCATTAACAGTGTCTTACAGAGCACACTCCCCTCCAGATGTGTGCGGATCCACCAAAGCATGTCCAGGTGTCTTTAGGCGTCACACACACTTGGAGTAGTAGTACATAGTAGTGTGTGTGTGTGTGTGTGTAGGCCCCTCCCCTTCTCTCTGGAACTGTGTGTTCCAGCTCTCTGGGCTGGAACATACAGGTCTTGACCGTGAGGTCAGCATTAATTTCACACTCAATGCTGATGAAAGTAACTGGAAGCAGCTGTCAATCTAATCTCCAACAGCATTTGGCCTGGGATCATCATCACTGTTGTTGTGGTTGTTTCAGCTGCTCCTGTTAGGGGTCGCCACAGCAGATCATTAGTCCGCATGTTTGATTTGGCACAGGTTTTATGGCGGATGCCCTTCACAACCCTGACACAACCCTCCCATTTTATCCGGGCTTGGGCCCGGCACTGATAGTACACTCCCAGCGGCTGGGTTGGTTCCCTGCCCGGGAATCGAACCCAGGCCATGGCGGTGAGAGTGCCGGATCCTTAGCCGCTAGACCCCTGGGATCAATACCAATATTGAATAAAATTTGAATACATTTTTACCTATATAAATGACATCATGATGTAAATGATAGATGTAATGGACAGGAAGGTCAACATATTTAAGCACTTTTGCAAATGAAAGAATATTTCTATATTTTTCATCTGTGGTGCATTTGTGCTGATCAGAATGATTTTATTAGACAATCATTTCTGTAAAAATTCAGAGTGGAGTGGGAAAAATAGTCCAGACCTGCGATAGTAATTGAAAGGTTTTGGGTTCTAATCCCAGGTCTGCCAGAAAGCCACAGTTGCGTCCTCCCAGCTAACAAATGTAGGTTATTTTCTGAAAGTTACAGTTCTAGGAACTTTTCTTAAGACCATTCAATCTGTTGAGTTTCTTGGGTGTCCTGAGAACATTTTTACATCTCATATATAAACATTTATACAACATTGCTGCAACATTTTTTGTTATAAGGAGATTATCACTAACCTTTTGTGGCAACAACATGTGTGTGAGAAACATTCCAAGAACATTTACTTTTGTAACATTACAGTCTAAAGCTATAAGGGGAATAAAGCACTTCGGGATGTGCATCACACCGTGTCTTTGATTATTTTCCTATAAAAGTTTCTTACATAACATTCTCTGATATCTGATAGCTGAGTCTGAGCTCAGCTCAGCTTGGAGTCGGTTCATTCTTAGTAAGTCGCTTTGCATAAAAGCAACCAGCAAATCCTCTAGTGAAGACTGATAGAAAAAGCATATAAAATGTAAAATAAACAGGAATGAATCAGGCAGCTGCTTCCAAAATAGTCACCCGCTTCAATAATGCAGAAGGATGAGATGGAGCATAGCAGGATAAAAGGATGGAGGAAGAGAAGGATGAAGTATGGATGAGAGAATGGGGAACTCTGATCTGACACAAAAAAAAAAAAACAGACTCCTCAGGTTTCCTGTTTTTGTTTTCGAGGGCGGTTTGTAAAAAATTAAAACCAAAACATAGACCAAAACATATTATATTATATTATAGTATAGTATAGTATAGTATAGTATAGTATAGTATATTGCAGACAGAAGCTAACCGCTTCTCAATCATGGATGTAGTACTTCCTGTTTATGACAGATGGTGAGACAAAGTTTTGATTTAAAATCATTTTAAGTATGCACTTCTAGTTACAACATACTTTATGTGTCCATGGTGTGAAAATATTAAAAAAGTGTTTAAAAAGCAAGTTTTAATTTAACTCCTTGTCAGGCAGCACATATAACACAGTTGCAGGTACACAGAAGCTTTATTGTGAAAGCTTGCAGACAAATCAATATGTAAAGCAAAAACCAGGTCAGGTCAGATGATGAACAAACAGTATCAGTTAGGGCTAGGCAAGAGCGAAAACAAAGAAACCTGAAACAAGATCAAAACCAGAAAGACTAAAACAATATACAGGCTTGGCAATGACTGGTAATCAAACACAGTGCATGTACTTCGCAGTGATCTAGTGGCATGAGAGTCCTTATATATCGTGGCTGTGTGGTTGAATCTAGGTGTTGGTGATCAGTAATCAGGTGAGTTGGAATGGGTGTGCTGGGAGTTGAAGTCTGTGGCGGCCAAGTTTGAAGGCCATGTGGGAGATGTAGTTAGACGCCAATTCCAGCATTGACAAGCCTCTTTCCATACGTGCTAACTCCGCATGAACCAGTCGTCCACTGTGGGTTAGTACGTTGGGTTGGCGTTCTACGGGAACAAAGGCGATTGGTAGTGTGTGAGCTTGGCTGCTGAGTGCCGGAAGGAATTTTGCAAATATTCTGCCTATGGTAGGAATTGTGCCCAGTTTTCCTGATTGTTAGTGCAGAATGTTTGCAAAAAGTGTCCTGTTTCCTGATTGGCTCTCACCATTTGGCCACTAGCCTAGGGATGATATCCTGATATTAGGCTCACCAAGATTCCAAGTTTCTTCATGAACCCTTCCCGTACACGAGATGTGAATTGAGCTCCTCAGTCACTCACTATGTCATTTCAAAGTAACATGGCAGGCCGGGGAGAGGAAGCAGACGAAGGGACTTTGAAAAATGGTCGATAATCACTATGACGACCGTGTTGTTCTGCGATGAGGGGAGATCCATGGTGACAAAGTCGATAGTTAGGTGTGACCATGGTCTTTGTGGCGTAGGTAGAGGGAGTAGATTTCCTGCTGGCAGGGTGCAAGGTACTTTGACTTGGCCACAGATGGAACAGGAAGAGATGAAGCTGTAGATGTCTTGGAGCATGCGGGGCCACCAGTATTTGTACTTGCTCTAGAGTAGTTGATGTGTTTTGTAAGTGCTGGGGTGTCCTGTAGCCAGGGATGTGTGAGCCCACGTGACCAGCTTGTTGCAGAGATGAGAGGGCACATATTTTTTCCCACCTTGGGGTTGGGCACTGTGTGGGAGTTATCATCTCCAGTGTGTTTTCTATCTCTCGATCTTTGTCCCAGGTTCTAGCCCCTACAAAGGGTGACTGTGGAAGAATGCATTCTTTGGATGTTTCTCTGGGAGGGGCTGGATATATATGGGAGAAAGTTAGCTTTGGTGTTTTATGACCCTGGTCTATACGAGATCGTGAACTCCAACCTGGAGAAGAATAGTGCCCTGGGTGCTTGGCGAGAATTCAGTCTTTTGGCTGACTTAATATACTTGAGGTTCTTATGGTCTATGAAAATCATGAATGGGTGAGATGCCCCCTCCAGCCAGTGATGCTATTCTTCCAGTGCCAACTTCACAGCGAGGAGTTCCCTGTTGCCGATGTTGTAATTTCACTCGGCAGGGGACAACTTCCTGGTGAAAAATGCCACTGGGTGGAACTTGGGTTTTTCTCCAAACCACTGTGAGAGGATGGGCCCCACCTCCACTTCCATGATGAAGGGCTTGGAGGGATCAGGGTGTTGTAGGATGGGGGGCCGAGGTGAATGCCTCTTTGAGGTGTTCAAATGCTTGATTTGCTAAGGGATTGCACTTCAACCATTTGGGTTCCTTCTTCACCAGGGATTTTAAGGGTAATACTATGATGCTGAAACCTCAGATTAACATCCGATAAAAGATTGTAAATCCTAAAAATCGTTGCAGTTCCTTGACTGTAGTGGGAATGGGCCTGTTGGTGATGGCAGTGACTTTGTCCTGGTCCATAAGCACCCCTTTCTCGGCTAATGTGGTATCCTAGAAATGCTACCTTGGATACCTGAAACTCACATTTTCCCTGTAGAACAAAAAAAATTACACCTGAAATTAAAAAAAAAAAAAAAAAATTTATTAAAAAAAAATTTTCACATTCGGGTCTAAAATATAGCAATATTCTTGATGTACAACATTTACTCAGTTTAGGACTGTTGCATGATATAACTGATATTGGAGGTAAAAAAAAAAATCAAAATTCAATAAAAAAAAATTTGAAATATAAAAAAATAAGTTTTAGAAAAGCTATGGCATTCATTAGAATTGGGCACAGTTTTTACATTTAGTTTGGTAGTTTGTGTAGAAAGTTGTGTTAAGATATACCAGAGACATGCAAATTGAGAGCAACAGAAATAAAGACAATGATTAATATTAAATGACAGTAATAGTCTTGAGTGATTTGGAGGAGATTTACATCATATATTGTACTAAAAACAGCCTGAAATTGATTGAGACAGCCGTGATTTTTATTTTCATAATATAAGATAATATCTGTAAGAGTGACCGAATAATGGAGTCCTGATGAAACAGTGCACGCCCCTACTAGCACTGTGACGTCACAGGCCACGCGACCGGGCTTTGGAATGTTTGTGTTTAAATCTTTGCAATGTTTATTTTCGAAAAAAGGTTCAGTTGTGAAGCTTGCAAACTCAGGATTAAACAATTTTTACACTGCAATTATTCCAGCACCACTACTGGGATTTTATTCCTGCCTCTGGGATTTTATTCCTGCACCACTACTGGGATTTTATTCCTGCATCTGGGATTTTATTCCTGCACCACTACTGGGATTTTATTCCTGCTCTGTCTCTGGGATTTTCTCCCTGCTCTGTCTCTGGGATTTTATTCCTGCATTACTACTGGGATTTTATTCCTGCTCTGTCTCTGGGATTTTCTCCCTGCTCTGCCTCTGGGATTTTATTCCTGCACTACTACTGGGATTTTATTCCTGCTCTGTCTCTGGGATTTTCTCCCTGCTCTGTCTCTGGGATTTTATTCCTGCATTACTACTGGGATTTTATTCTTGCTCTGTCTCTGGGATTTTCTCCCTGCTCTGCCTCTGGGATTTTATTCCTGCACTACTACTGGGATTTTATTCCAGCTCTGTCTCTGGGGT